TTGTCAGACTAGTTACTAACAACTTTAAGGCAATGACGACAGACTGTTAATTCACCATCTTTACAATAGTGAGTATCAAATACTCTGTGTAGGCCAATGAAACATTAATGTATTGAATCACATCCATATACTCACTAAAAAGCATATCTTTTGATAAGCTTATAGATATCCATGATTTTTATAAATCCACACTCCAGATGGAATATTCCTAAAAGATGTAACAGAATGGTAAAATCATAAAATTAATGAGAAAAATAAAATATAAAACTTTATCTTCAACCCTCACTCCTACATACATATTTAATAATCTAAAAACCTTTAAGAATAGTATTTTCAACGTATTTATCAAAATCCAACTCTGTGGAGTTTAAGCTTTTAGCTTTAAAGGATTTGTAAAAACAACTACTAATTATCCCTATACTTAATAAGGTTAATATTTTCATAACTCACCTCTAATATGTATATATGATAATTTTAAAGATACCATTCAATATTGTTGTCTTCTAAAGCACTTTAGATACTTTTTGTATATGCTGTAAGTGGATGTAACAAAATTAAAGTTCTTAAAATTTGTACAATATATGAAATTCATTAGGTTTTTTTCTTATGTAAAAATTATTTTTAAAATTCAATAGAGCTTATTTTGAATTTAGATTTTTTTTCCACAAGCTACTACATTAATATATTTTGCTAAATAAAAAAAACCCATATGATTAGAAATATGGGTTTGGAAATTGAATTTGTTTTACAATGTGTATGCAATATAAATTTATTGATTTAATATTTTTAACTAAAACTCTTTAACATTAATTACGATTAATTCATTATAAATTTTAGTCACTTGCATGACTAAAAATATTTGAGAACAAACTCCCTTCTTTTTTGTAATTATCTTAAAGCCTTTTTCAATAATTATACCTGGATCTTTCACTAATATTTCGCCATTACTCCCTATTTGAAATTTAGAAATATCATGTTCATTGCCATCATTATCAACAATAAACAGTTTATTTTTATATTGCATACTTAGCATCCTTAAATTGTGACACTAAACACATTTAAGTATTAATTTGAGCAAATTAATACATTTTAACTTATGCATGTATTAAAACTTATAAAAGACGCCCTAAAGCATCTTTTATTTTTATAATATATTTAAATGTTCTAGCAATTGTTTTTCTTCGCTTGACCAGGAGGACAGAATTTACCATTTCCATGCCCACCATTGTAACGCCCATCAGGATCTACAACGATGCTTCCTTCAGGAGTATGTACAGCGCAAGCCGTAAGACTTAAGCCACTAAACATCATAACTACGATTAAGATATTTTTCATAATCAACTCCTTTTAAAGTACAAAATTAGAATGTTTTGTGATCATGTTCCACTATAAAATTGTTATTAAAATAAATTAGCCCGTTTTATATCTTCTAGAATTTCAGATGCTTGTATGAAATTTTTTAACTAAATAACCTCTAATTATTTCATCAGCTTGCATATCTAATAACTCATCAGAGACCCAAAATACATACTCTTCGTTCTTAAACTTAACTATTTTTTTTAAATAGGTTGTAATTGAATTTGATGTAGAACCTTTAATTTTGAAAAACTTCTCATGACTTACATTCCCCAGCAACTTACTTCCATGCCAGGCGCATCCAGCTCATATGCCCGTAAATACGCGCTAAATGGCTTGTTCTTAATTGATGACACCAAAGACTATGACTCGGATGAATATCATAACCAAGTTAATCAGGGTGCTACACGCAATAACAACCAGCAAAACTCAAGACAGGCTCAACAACCGAATCGCAATCAAAATAATCCAGCTAGTGGCCAGCAACAAAAGCCATTAGCTCAGCGTTATAACGATGCACTTCTAGCTATAAAAGATGCTAAAAATCCTCAAACCCTTGATAAAGCAATTAACACATTCAAAGGCACTCAATACGAGTCAGGTATATCAAAAGCCTGCCGTGCTCGAGCAGATCAAATGGGATGGAATGAAGCGCCACCGATAAACCAAGTTCAACAACAAAATCAAATGCAGCATTGAGGAAAATAAAAAATGAATTTATTAAATAGTAATGAAGCATTTTCAGCACTTATGGCTGGTAAAAATATTATGTGCCGCGCTGTTGGCGAATTGATGGACTTTGATGACTTAAATCAATTCCCTGCTACGATCTTCGCTTTACCTGGCTATGAGTTCTGTATCAAACGTGAATCTTTGACTTTGGCAGATATTCAATTTACTAAGCCAGTTGAACCACACGATCTAGAGAATGGCCAAGAAATCTTTATTGTGATGCCAACATGTATCTTGCGTACTAAATACGATCCAGAACATGGAGATATATGTTTAAGTGTGGCAAATGGATTTGCTCAATTAGATGCTGAAAATGCACAACTGCAGCTTCAGGCGTTTGGTAAAACGTTTGGCAATATGATTACAGAAATTGAAATTAAAGACGGTTTCAGTGAAAAGTCTAAAAAATCTAAAGCTCCTCGTAAAACTAAAGAAGCTTTTAAAACTGAAGATACCCCAGAAATTGAAACAGATCCTGCATTAATAATTGATAAATTTGCAGCGAAAATTGCAAACTGTACGACAACAGAAGCTGTTCTTTTATTACGCCCAGTGTTTTTTGCTAATGGTCATCTTGAGCGTGAACATACTCAACATCTATGCAAATTGACTGAGAATAAGTTGATAGAGATTGATCCTGAGCAATATGCACCAAAACCAAGTTACATTGATCATCAAATTTATATAGATGGCATTAATGCATGTGTTTCAGAGGAAGAAATTAAAACCACACTACACGATGTGAATGATCAAGGTTTTAGCGAAGAACAGCTCTCTGAAATTAATCTCGCAAAATGTTCTAAACTTGCTGAGTTTCAAGCGACTGCATTAAAGAATATTCAGGATAATCAATATGACAATCTGTTAAAAGAACTATTAGAACGTGCTCAAAAATCAAAATTACCTGCTGAAGCTAATGCCTTGTATAAATATACGGTCAATTGGACTGAGGAACAGCGTAAGCCATTGATGGATGCAATTAATAAGCGATTAAGTGAATTGGGTGCGACTGCTCCACCTCCTGAACAACCACCTTCCTTAGCAGTTCAGATCCAAAATGCATCTGATTTAACAACCTTGGATATTTTGGAAATTGATATTGCAACCCGTCATCCAGACATTCAACCGAAATTAATGGGACTGGTTCGTAAACGTCGATTTGAGCTTGAAAATTCAGGTTCAAACGTAATGACTTAATTTGGAGCTATTTCTCTTATCACTTGATGAAATGAATTTAATAAATAGGTAAAGGTATGAGTAGACAATCAAAACTTTCTAAAATGACAGAAGAAGAAAAGCTCTTGGCAGCAAAGATTTTTTGGGAATCCCCTTTAGATGCAACATTTCCACCTACCACGGTAGCAATTGTATTTAATGTATCCCTTCCCTGGTTACAGCTTAAACGCTGTGAAGGTGGCGGCATACCATTCATTAAAGGCGCTAGAAAAATCTCGTACACAAAAGGTGATGCCGTTAAGTATTTTGAAGGTCAAAAACTTACAAATACAATCTGATTTAAAAAGGAGGTTTAGCCTCCTTTTTAAATCCTTCAAAAACAATGTCCTCAACTTCCTGCATGGCCAACCTTAGCTTTTTATCGCTAATCTGGATATAACCCTCAGTTACATCACCCGAAACCGTATGATTCAATAATCTCTTAATCGTGTACTGACCGTAATCAAGATTCTCAGCAATGGTGCCAAAGGTACGTCTAAGGTCGTGGAAAGTGAACTCAATACCTGTTTCATTAATTATTTTTTGTTTAGCTTCAAATAAATTCGTTGTATAGCCTTTTTTCTTAGCCTTAGGGGAAGCAAAAACATATTCATTGAACTTTTGCTCATCTCTTTTCTTCATGATCTCCCAAAGACGCTCACCCATAGGTAATGTATGAACTTCACCATTCTTAGGATCATTAGAAGTTATCCAGCCATACTTTAAATCAACAGCATCCCATTTTAGTGTTTGGCATTCATGACGGCGAAACCCAGTGAGTATTAAAGTTAAAAGAAAATCCCTGACTGTATTTCGTTCCTGTCTCAAAGCGGTGAAATTCATTACAGCGTTAATCCAATCGGTTAACTGTTCTTGTTTGACATAGCCTTTCCGGCGTTTGATTTTATTCCATGTTCTTTTTGCTTTAAGCGTTGCTACTGGATTCACCGCAGTAATTATTGACTCATCGTTGGCATCAAGAAAATGTTCAATAGAAAAATTAAAGATCGCCCTGAAGACAGCCATTGCTAGATTTGCTTGAGCGGGACTTCTTTCAGTTAATTCTGTGTATTTTGCTTGGACTTGAATTCGCGATATATCCCCGATCTTAAGTTTTTTCCAATCCGCTAAATATTCATTTACAACCTTGTCGTAATCTTTAAGTGTTCTAGGTTTTAATATTCTATTCTTAAGATATTCATTATAAGCAACCTCAACAGTAGGATGCTGCCTTGATACGTTTAAAATATGTTCATCTTGCTCACGTTTAGCCTTCTTCTCCTCATTTGGATTGTAACCTTGTGCCATTTGAGAAAGCAGACCTTGTGCTAAAATTCGCGCCTGTGATAGTGTTAAATTGCCATGTAGACCAATAGTAGACCGTACCGCTTTGCCTTTGACCTTTTTTTCAACAATATAGGTTTTACAAGTTGTATTAACTCGTACAGCAAATCCAATAAGTTCACTGTCCCTGTATATGCCTGGTTCGCTTAAAGAATCAATTGCAGTTTTAGTGAATTTTATGCGTTCTGACCTAGACATTGTTTAACCCTATTAAGCAATAACGATCGCTAGTAAGCAGTATACATTCTAGTCTACTATGCGTCTACTTTATGAGTTTTCTTATTAATTTAAGTTTTTCATGAACAATTTAAAATCGCTAAATATTTGATAGATATGCAATAAACAACACAGGAATGCATAGCAACATGAGTAATAAATTCGAATTCCAAATCCGTGTATATATCGAAGATACAGATGCTGGCGGTATCGTATACCATGCCAATCATATCCGCTTTATGGAACGTGCACGGACAGAATGGCTACGTGCATCCGGTATTGACCACTATTGGCATCAAAAAGATTACAATTTTGTCGTGCATAAAATTGCATTGAAATATTCTCGCCCTATACTCATGGACGATCTTATTACTGTTACAGCAAGTGTAGTTTCATGTAAAGCTTCGTCATTTGTGTTGCAACAGAATATATATCGTGGTGAAATCATGCTTGCTTCTGGCGAGGTGGAATTGGCATGTTTAAGTACAGATATGAAACCTCGTAGAATTCCTGACGAAATCCGTGATTTAATTCTTCGAGAATTAGCTCACGAATAAAAAATACTTTTGGCACATGTAACTATGGCAACACAACTAGAATCTTCTTTACACATCTCTGATTTAATTTTACAAGCGAGCCCTGTGGTTCAATTGGTGATGCTAATCTTAGTACTCGCATCTGTTTTTAGTTGGTATTTGATTGCCAAGTTGCATATGGGCTATAAGAAAGCACATCAAGGCGATGAGCACTTCCAAAAAATCTTCTGGTCTGGTGCTGAACTCAATACCTTATATAACAATGCTCAGCTTAATTCTAAGCGAAGCGGTTTAGAAGATATTTTCTATCAAGGTTTAAGTGAGTTTTTAAAACTTAAAAAACGCCATGCAGAGACTGCATCGATGATTGAAGGCACTGAACGTATCTTGCGTGTAGGACTCAGTCGTGATCAAGGCCGTTTAGAGCAAGGCTTAAGCTCTCTCGCCAGTATCGGTTCTGTCGCACCTTATATTGGTTTATTTGGTACTGTTTGGGGCATTATGAGTGCATTCATTGGCTTAGCTCAGGTTGAACAAGTTACCTTAGCCACTGTTGCACCAGGTATTGCTGAAGCATTGATTGCAACTGCGATTGGTTTATTTGCTGCAATACCAGCAGTACTAGCATTTAACCATTACACTGCAAAAGGCGAAGAAATTTATTCAGATCGTGCATTATTTGCAGAAGAAATGGTGGCGCTATTACAACGTCAGTCTGTGGGAACTACACAGGAAGATGAATAATGACAATCCAACGTTCTGGACGTTTTGAGCGCGTCAAAAAGCCTTTAAAAAGTGATATGAATGTCGTTCCCTATATCGACGTCATGTTGGTTTTATTGGTTATTTTTATGGTGACAGCACCCATGATTACCACGGGTGTTAAAGTTGATTTACCTCAAGCAAACAATAATCCGATTCAATCTGAAGACCGACCAGCCATCGTGACTTTAGAAGCAGATGGTACGATTAAACTTGAAGACAAAAACCATAAAAATGAGGTTTTAACTTTAGATGAGTTAAAAACAGTACTTACAGAAAATCAGCAACAGGCTCAAGCAAATAACAAGCAATTGAGTGTCTTGATCAATGGTAGTGAATCACGCCCTTATGGTGAAGTCATGAAACTCATGTCTACACTGCAAGATGCTGGTTTAAGCCAAGTGGGTTTACTGACAGAGTCTGTAAAGTAAGTTATGAAAAATATTCAAAAGCCACAATCTAAAGAAAAAGCGATTGCACTTGGATTTACCTTAGGTATTCATGTGGTGGCGATTACTGGCTTACTTTTTCTCGGTTTAAGTCAACCACCTGAGCCACCCAAGCAAATTAAAACCGTTTTAATTAAACCTGAAGATTTACCACCGCCTGAACCCAAGCCTTTAGTAGAAACTGATGCCACTGAAACGGCAGATAGCAAGGTTGCAAATAATACTCAGCAAACAGCAGAACCTGATCAAACTGCACCAGAAATTCCAACTGAAGCAAATAATACACCAGATACCAAGGCGATAGATGCACAAAAAGCTGCCGAACAGGCCAAGGCAGCCGCATTAGAACAGCAATTGGCTATGGCAGCGGCTAAAGCAGCACAAGAAAAAGCCTTAAAACTTTCTCAAGCTAAAGCAGATGCTGCGGAAAAAGCCAAACAAGAGGCAGCTGAAAAAGTAAAGCAGGCTAAAAATGCTGCTGAGAAAGCTAAGGCAGAAGCTGAAGCAAGATCTAAAGCAGATGCAGCAGCTAAGGCCAAGCAAGAGGCGCTTCAAAAAGCCAAAGCGGATGCTGCGGAAAAAGCCAGACTCGCAAGACTCAATGCCGAAGCAAAAAGCAAAGCAGAAGCTGCTGAAAAAGTCAGAAAAGAAGCCGCAGATAAGGCCCAACAAGCCAAAGCCGATGCTGCTGCAAAAGCCAAGGCAGATGCTGCTGAAAAAGCCAGAGCGGATGCTAATGCAAAAGCTAAAGCAGATGCTAACGCAAAAGCCAAAGCAGATGCTAACGCAAAAGCCAAAGCGGACGCTGCTGCAAAGGCTAAAGCAGATGCTAATGCAAAAGCCAAGGCAGATGCTGCTGAAAAAGCCAAAGCGGATGCTAATGCAAAAGCCAAAGCGGATGCTGCTGCAAAAGCTAAAGCAGATGCTAATGCAAAAGCCAA